AAGACTATTGCCACTAATGTGCTTCCGAACTCACGAATGAGATATTTATAAGAAGGATACAACGTTTGTTTAGGACAATTATATATTATCATTGGATACATCAATCTTGTTAAAGCTTTTGAAACCTAATCGTAGAAGGAAGTCAAGAAAATCTTCAAGAAGTTGAAATAAAGGCTACAGATCTGTAAGACTTTGTATATCACCGAACAGTCACCAACACATGACTAGGATGTTCACAGGGTAGTGTATATGGGACTGTGGAGGTGACTAATATCTAAATGACAGTGACCCCTTATAAACAATAAATGTACGCTCAGGATATGACGACTTTCCTGAACTATCGGACAATCTTAGACGATGTACACTTAGATAAAGGTTCACGTCAACAATGCAACGCTAAACAATGATTTCTGATATAAAAAGTATCTGATTCATACCACAAAATAGTATCTAAAGAAAAGCGATACTGTGATGTAACGATACAGTGGTATAACGTTTCTGTTGGTATAACGATACTGTGGTATAACAATACTGTGGTATAACAATACTGTTGTATAACAATTCCGTGGTATAACGATACTGTGGTATAACGTTACTGTGGTATAACAATACTGTGGTATAACGTTACTGTGGTATAACAATACTGTGATATAACGATACTGTGGTATAACGATACTGTGGTATAACAATACTGTGGTATAACGATACTGTGGTATAACAATACTGTGGTTTAACAATACTGTGGTATAACGTTACTGTGGTATAACAATACTGTGGTATAACAATACTGTGATATTACGATACCGTGGTATAACGATACTGTGGTATAACAAAACTGTGATATTACGAGACTGTAGTATAACGATACTGTGGTATAACGATACTGTGGTATAACGATACTGTGGTATAACAAAACTGTGGTATAACGATACTGTGGTATAACAATACTGTGGTATTACAATACCGTGGTATAACAATACTGTGGTATAATGATACTGTGGTATAACAAAACTGTGGTATAATGATACTGTGGTATAACAATAC